GACGATGGCGAAACGTTTGGGGGTTTATGCGGGTGCGTGGGGCACCGCGGCAGTCTTTAGGGCTCGCTGTAGGGGGCGTCTGGGTGCGGTGGAGGGCAAATTCGCACGCCGGTGCTGGTAGTGGGAGGCACAGCAGCTGCGCAGTGCCAGGGTGGAGCAGCGACATGAGTAGCGGGGATAGGCGAGGGTGGGGAGAAGCAGCAGACAGCGGCAATGCGTGACTGGCGTGCAGCATTAAAGAGGAAGGAATATTGTGTGGGCTCACTGGGTGGCGCGGTAACCGCAGAGTGTGGCTGCCGCTTCTGCTCTTGCAGCGGGGAATATGCCGCCACACTCTTTTTGTATGTTGCGTTGGGGGGGCAACTGTGCAGGCGACTGAGCAGCACGCGGATGGTCTCACCGCTGCGGGTGTTGCCCACGCCGTCCGGCCGCATTCCTGCTTGGCCCACGCCTTTCCACGCGGCGGCACCGTCAACTGCAACGGCACGCTGAGAAGCTGTGGGTTCCACCGCCACGACGACTGAAGGATGCGGAGGTGTCTGCGGCTGCCTTCGCAGGCGGCGTCCCGTGCGGCCCAGTCGCGTGGCAAACAGTTCCCTCGCGGAATTCACGTGCACCGCACCACGTGCTGGGCGCAGCGTATATTTGCGTCGCGGGGGAGAACGCGGTGGCGTCAATTCTCCTTTTCACGGGGAACAGGCGGCGGATGGTCTGCCTCTTTGCACCTCAGCGAATTGCGACACAAAATGCCGCCGCGACGAGGCAGTCAATTTCACTATGAGTGGGTGATATTTGCGTGTGGCTACGCACACACAGAGCTGTGGGGATCCGAGTGGCGAGTGCAATACGAGAAGAGGAGAGACACCTCGTCGCAGTTGTTGTGTGTGCCGTGCAGTTTGCATGGTTTGCCTGGGGAGATCCAATTTGCTCTCGTTGTTTGTGTGGGAGGGTGCCGTGATGCATCACGCTTGCGTTGTGTGCGGGATTGGGGGTGCCTGTGCGTGTGTGTCTGTGTGAGGTGTGCGCCGCGTGCCGTGTGTGGGTGGCCCTCTCTCTCCCTTTTGTTGTTACGGCTGCGTGGGGTCGTGTCTCTGCCTGTTTTTTTTTTAATAATTTCATTCTCCCTTTTGACTGCTGGTTGAGTATTGTGCTACAGTTCAACTCAAGTTAACCACCACGAAGGAAAACGTGTCTGATAGACGCGAGGAGGAATTTCACGCCGCCGAGGAGCCCCCTGCAACCGATGTGCCGCAGGGAGGAGGACGTCGTGCCCGGATCGGGGCTGTCTGGCGACTCGGATGGGCCCTTCGCACAGCTCCGAAGAGTGGAAGGAAGAGAGCGCGAAGAGGAGGAAAGGGGCAGACGACCGAGGCTGGAGGGACTCTACGAATCCGTATTTGATGCAACGTGGAGTCACGTCGTGGGATTTCCCGAGGGCGAAGAGAACAACATGGTGGTGCGAATGGAGGTGAGAGAGGGCCAACGGCCACAAGAGTTATTATGGATGGGAGTACGCGCAGACTGTGCGTACTTTTTTCTCAGTGGGTGGTGAGGAGCAGTTCCGTCCACCACCCCCACGACTCATGATCCTTTCCTTTGAAAAACGATGGCCATACTCGCTGAACCATTCAGTACGTATTACCGACTGCTACATTAACATTGAGGTGCATCGGGTGTGGAAGATCGTCGAGGGTGATCTAAAAGGAGTGTTTCCCCCTCCAGAGAGAGGCGCACCATACATGAGACGCCGTATTTTGGTTGGAGCCCCCGGGGTCGGGGAGTCAATGGCGGCTGGCTCCTACCTCCTTTAACAGCTGCTGCACTACGACGCCACGAAGCTCCATGTGGTTGTGTACTGCTTTGGAAGGGATTTTGCATACTTGTTTGACAAAAGCACACGAACGGTGACAATATACGAGGGTGAGAGTAATATTGGAAGGGTTATGGTAAATTTGGCTAGGATTGGAATGAAAGGGTATATTATCATCGATATGGCAAGACAACTTCAAGAACCATCGAATGATGTTGTGCCCTCCCCTGAGTGGGGCATCATTACGTTGTCGTCCCCGCACGAAAATAACCTGAAAGCATGGGCGAAGCAGGCAGGTGCTATCAAAATCATCATGAATTGCCCCGATGAAAACGACATGAAGGCGATGTGTGCGTGGGAGACACCCAATACAACTGACGAGGAGCAGGCGGAGTATTGGAGAAGGGTGAACATGCGCATGGATGACGTCGGACCGATTCCACGATGCATCTTTGATGATAATAAATATAAAAACCGCGTGGAGGAAATCAAGGACATCCTGGCAGGTATCGACGCTTCAAATGCTAAACATTATGGGATGATTGGAGGTGTGGAAGAGTGGCCCTCGAATGACGCACCTCACAAACTTGTGAAAGTTGTCAGAGCAATAAGACAACGCGGTCTTGAGGCGTTTGTTAACATGCCGGTCTGTTTTTCCATTGGAAGCAAATTAATTGGAAGGTTGCTCGAGGTGGATGAGGAGAATGGCATTATTTTTCGAATATTGACGTACTGTAAAGTGTTATTGCCGGAACTTTTGGAGCGGTACACTCTTCACGCATTCCTGCGTAGAGACTTTGTGGAAAATGTAATGCCGGGCCTCAACGAGTTGCCTCCACCAGGACGTCGTCGGCGACAGAGATGTGTGCTGCAATCGAACCCCGAAAAGCATCCAAGCATACCCGTTGCATTAATAACACTGGAACACACTCCTCCGAGGTTGGATGCACAATGCGGGGTGATATACGTACCGAATAGTAGAAATTTTCCTCTTGTGGGCGCCTTTTTCTTCGTTGGTGCACCGCGGAGGACGATGGTTGCGGTGCAGGTGACGACGAGGGCTGAACATGGCACCAGAATCAGCACGGTGAGGCGGTTCAACGATCTTCCACGGAGTTATTTTAATGACTGGGAAACTTTTGAGGAAGGCTTGTCGTGGGAGATTATTTACGTGCAGCACGAGGACAGTACGACAATAAACGCGTGGCAGCAATGTGTTGTCGTCGCGCACGCAAATGTAACGGGCAGCAATGAGCGTGAGGACCCTCGGGCCATTGCGGCATTTTGGAATCAGCAGGTGCGTCAGTGCTAGGTAGCGGTACCAGCTGAAAATTGTAGAAGTGAACGACAAACCCAACGTGGGCGACAACCAGAGGGAGAAGGAAAAGGAGGAGGGGAATAAACAGTTTGAGTTTACTGGTGAAGTATTTTAGGGAGTATGATATATTGCCGAGTGTGTTTGTGTGTGGGTAGGAGGCGTACTTAAGGACTCGCTCTGCCGTGCGCCAAATGATTATTATGGCCAGCACTACCACAGCAGCACTTTTTTTTTGCTGTGGATGTGAGAAAAATTGTGTGGGGAATGATGGCGCCTTGTGGGTGTACGCCGGCAGTATTCCATTGGTGATATCTCCTCGATGTTCCGAGTTTGTTGCTGCAGAGAGTTTGGGCGAGAGGGTAAGTTTTGCATGCTGAGTGGGCTCACAGGCAGGAAGGCAATTGCGGCGGCCACCACAGCCCAGAAGTCGGGGGCAAACCGAATTTTTGTGATTGTTTTTGCGCCTTGGCGTGGTGTTTTTCTCTTTTTTTTTTTTTTGGTGCCATCGTTTTTGGTTGGCGTGCGGCTCCAATGGGGGGTGCCGCATGCGCCGCTGAGAGCCTCGAGCAAACGCCGTTGGCGCCTCTCTTTTTGTTGGGTTGCCGTCCTGGGCGCATGCTCCCGTTCCGTCTTGTTTGGGCTGCATGCACTGATCGGGCAGTCTGAGGCTACGGCTGCGCTGGCGTGTCGCCCTCGCTTGCGAGTCGAACGAAGCAGCAGGAAACGGGGGCTGCATGCGTCTTTTTTTATTTTTATTTTTTAAATTATTTTAGTTACGCCACGCTCCACTACTGCTGCAGTGCGCTGAGGGATGTGGGGACGGCGTTGGGGATTTTGTGGAGGTCGTGATGGGAGGTCCCGCCGGCATGCACACTGCGTGTTGCTGCTGGCAGGGTTTGAAGGGGCTGGGTGGGGGAGACGCTAAGTGAGGCGCTTATGAATTTTTTTTGTATTATTTTTTAATTTTTGCGGGAGACGTCCCACACTGCGGACTCTCCGTGCGGGTGCGGGTGGTGCTTTTTTGGGGCTGCGCACAACAGTCGCTGCTACCGCCAGCCTTTTTTGCGGCTGGCGTTTCTTGTGGGCAGCGGCGAGTGTGAGATCGCGCGGCCCACGCGTTCGTCGGTGCGGCCTTCGTTATGGATTGTGGCTGTTCTTTTTGCGTGATGCCCAACTGTGGGCGCGGGCGGTGCCTATCCTTTTTTTTTTTGTGGTTTCACCTCACTTTTTTTTGTCAACGCCCTCGGAAGGAAAGAGACCAAACGCTACTTGTTGCTTTGCGCATTGAAACGCTCTGCAGTCACCACCAGCAACACACACACACACACACTCACGCCTACTGCCTGAGTGGATCCACCGCACAGAGGGAAGAGAGTGTGAGTAAGCAGCGACACATGCCCAAGATGTCCTGGCATTTGTTTTCTTATTTGGTGCTGCTGCTGCTGTTTGTGCTCTTGACATGCTGTGGCAGTCAAGCCGCGGGGAGTATCCCAGGGACGGCCGTTAATTTATTCACAGGGACGAAACCGATAACTGGTGCCAAATGGGAGGAAATGCAATGCGTTGAAGGGTCAGTTCGCTCGCTTCGTGTCCCCAGCCTTGTGGAGGTGGACGGTGCTGTGTTTGCCGTTGCT